GCGGGGGCGCTCGCGCGCCAAGGACTTAGGTCTCTCAAACCGCCTTGACGCTGGCGGCTGCTGTCGCCTCACAATGAGCGTGAGAAGCGCTGGGGGCGGAGCCCAAGGAGCGGAGAGGAAGAGCCGGTGGCGCCGTCCACTCCCTCGGCGTAACGTCAGATGCCTCCGCCACAGCGTGCGCTGTGCCTTGTAAGCGTGCGATTCTTCCGCCACCTGGGGAACCGATGGGCGGAGCCTTGAGCGGAAAGAAAAAAATCCCCAGCCTGGTGGAGCCCTAGTGGCTTCTCTTAAATAGACTCCTGGATTAAGAAGTGTATAGCCGGGCGTGGTGGCGCACACCTGTAATCCCAGTACTCGGGAGGCTGAGGCAGGAGGATTGCTGTGAGTTTGAGACCAGCCTGGCCTACATAGTTCCAGATCAGCCTCAACTACATAGTGAGACCCTGTCTCAAAAAACAAAAAAGAATATAAAGTACAGGGGCTGTGGATTTAGTTCAGTGGTCCCACCACCTGCCTCACAAGCGCAAGGACCGGAGTTCGATCCCAGCTACAAAAAAAATAACAGCTGGGCTGGTGGTGCAGGCTTGTAATCCCAGCGTTTTAAGAGGCTGAGGCAGGAGGATTGCCATGAGTTCAAGGCCCTGTCTCAAAAAAAATCTAAAGAATAGATATAGAAAGAGTACAGATAGCCGAGAAATGCATGAAGAAATGTACTTTTTTGGGGGGGTACTGGGGATCGAATTCGGGTCCTTGCACTTGCAAGGCAGGCAGTGGAACCACTGAGCTAAATCCCTGGCTCAAGAAATTATATATATTAGTACAGGTATTCAACAGCACTGGCTATTAAAAAAATGCAAATTAAAACAGCGCTGAGATCCCATCTTACCCCAGAAAGAATGGTTATCATCAAGCTATCAAATAGTAAAATGCTGGTGAGGCTGTGGGGACAAAGGAACCCTCTGCACTGTTGAAGTGTAAACTAGTACAACCACTGTGGAAAGGAGTACGAAGAGTCCTCAACACTAAAATTAGAAATGCTGCCAGGCATGGTGGCACATGCCTGTAATCCCTGCACCCAGGAGGGCTGAGGCAGGAGGATCTCTGAGTTCAAGACCAGCTTGGGCTACATGGTGAGTTCTAGGTCACTCTCAACTATATAGTGAGACCCTGTCACATAAATAAATAAAAATAAAACTAGAAATGCCATTTTACCCAGCTGCTCCCTTTCTAGGCATCTTCCTGAAAGAGTTAACAGTTGTCATATCACAGGGAGCCCTGCTCACCCGTGTTTATAGCAGCACAGCTCATAACAGCTAAAGCTTGGAAGCAGCCTGTGTGTCCAACAGGTGAATCGATAAAAAGAATGTGGCCATGGGCCCGGGATTTAGCTCAGTGGTTCCACCACCTGCCTCGCAAGCACAAGGACCCAAGTTCAATCCCCAGTACCAAAAGAAAAAGAACGTGGCCAGGCCTGGTGGCACATGCCTGTGATGCCAGCACTCAGGAGGCTGAGGCAGGAGGATCGCTATGAGTTCGAGACCAGCCTGGAATACATAGTGAGTTCCAGGTCAGTCTCAATTACATAGTGAGACCCTGTCTCAAAAGAAGAAAGCAAAACAAAAAAGCTGTGTATCTGATTTATGTTACTTAATATGGTATTAAGGCTTATCCATTTTTCTACAAATGTGTACATTGTGTGTAAATACCACTCTTTGGGGGGGTACTGGAGATGGAACTCAGGACCTTGTGCTTTCGGGGGAGGCGGGTTCCCACTGAGCTAAATCCCTGGCCCTATTTTGGCATTTTTTGAGACAGGGTCTGGCTATGTAGTTGAGTCTGGCCTTGAACTCGAAGTGATCCTCTTGCCTCAGCCTCCCAAGCAATGGGACTATAGGCATGAGTCAAGCTTTAATAGCTCATGGTTTCTCTATCTGAGAAACCCAAATAGCAAAATAAAAGATGTTTCTCAGATGGAAAGGGGTGCAAGAGATGGAGGGGAGGGAAAGGCGGTACAAAAAGGAATTCAGATGTGTACATGTACCAATGCCACACAAGGAATCTAAGCATTATGTACTGCAAACGTGCTAATAAAAAAGGAATAGAAAGTATTCACTTGGCATGGCTGTGCGTGCCTGTAATCCCACAATTCTGGAACTCTGAATTCAAGCCCAGCATGGGCAATTTAGTAAGTCTCTGCTTCAAAGGGCAGGGAGGCTGTGGTTTAATCCCCGGTGTCACTAAATGAACAGATAAATAGGGTTCACAGTAAACTTCCTAAACGTGCTAGCCGTCATGGATGTGGAATATTCTTAGCATGTACACACTGAGGTGTGGGCCAGAGCAGCATGAACAATGTGGCCAATTCCCGTGACTCGAGAAAATGTGTAAAGCTGGTGTGTAAACCATGATTAGGGCGTGCAAGGCCCTGGATTCAATCCCAACACAGAAGAAAAGCATAGATAACGCAAATGTGGCAAAAAGTCAACTGGCAAATCTAGGCAAATGCTACTCTGGAGCTTTTGTATTAGGCCTTTTTTTGAGACAGGTCTCTGTGTATTTGAGTCTGGAATTATGGAGCCCAGGCTGGCTTCCTGCTTTGGCCTCCCGTGTGCTGGGATTCCAGGTGTGTAACTGCATACATACTGGGTTATCACACCATACTGCACAAATATCTGCAATTCTTGTGCATCGAACGTTTTTACAATTTCAGACAATGTAATTAGTACATGTCTGCAGGACATGACCATGCTCGCTGTGGGAAGTTGGTGCCAAGTACATAATACATCATAAGTCTTTCTACTCCCCTTCCTCCATCCCTGGATCCTCCTCCCATCTGCAAAAGATGTTTTCTTGTTTCCTATCATTTATCTTTTATTTAGCTCTTTACATTATTTGTACGTTGGGTTTCTCAGATAAGAGAAACCATGTGATATTTAAGCTTGTTTGATTTATTTCACTTAACATTATGGTCCCAAGGGTCAGCCATTTTCCTATAGATGACTTCAGTTTATCCTTCTCCATGGCAAAGTAGCTCTCCCTTATGTGTAAAAACATTCTTTATTGTTTGTTGAGGGACAGACAGGCCACTCCCAAGATGTAGCTACTGTGAGTTGTGCTGCTGTAAACATGGGTGGGAATGAATCACAATCACAATGTCTTTAACTTTCTTGGGAAGACACCCACAGGGGGAATAGCTGAGAAGAATGGAATTCTACTTTTGGCTTTTTGAGGAATCCTTGTACTGATTTCTACCAACAGTCTAGGGGTCTTTTTCTCTGAAGCCTCCCCAGGATTTGTGATTAGATTTCTTGATGATGGCCATTCTTTCTGAAAAAGATGGAATCTGAGTTGTTTTAAAGAAGGGTCAGAGGTGAGCTCGGTGTTAGAGCATGTGTTCACCGTGTATGAGCCCCTAGGTTCAGTCCCAAACGTCAAAACGATTTTTTTTTTTTTTTTTTTTTTTTTTTTTTTTTTTTATTAAAAATTTTTTTTTTTTTTTTTTTTTTTTGGTATTGAGGATCGGATCAAATTCGGGACCTTGCGCTTGCAAGGCAGGTGGCAGAACCACTGAGCTACGTCCCTGGCCCAAACAGTTTTTTTTAATTAAGAAAGAAAAGAAACTTAAACCTAAAGGGTAAAAAGTGTTTGATACCTAACAT